ATCACTGCAGATGGTGACAGCAGCCACGAAATTAAAAGATGCCTGCTTCTTGGGAGGAAAGCAATGACAAACCTCGACAGCATCTTAAAAAGCAGAGCACCTCAACAGCATCTTTAAAAGCCACCTAGAGTCATCGTATAGACCAGATGGGTGGGGTACAAATCAAATAAATAGAAATAGAAAAAAAAGAGACCTCACCTTCCCAACAAAGGTCTGCATAGTCAAAGCTATGGTTTTTCCAGTAGTGATGTATGGAAGTAAGAGCTGGACCATAAAGAAAGCTGACTGCTGAAGAATTGATGCTTTTGAATTGTGGTGCTGGAGGAGACTCCTGAGCGTCCCCTGGACTGCAAGGAGAATAAACCTATCCATTTTGAAAGGAAATCAAGCCTGAATGCTCACTGGAAGGACAGATCCTGAAGCCGAGGCCCCAATACTTTGGCCATCTCATGAGAAGAGAAGACTCCCTGGAAATGACCCTGATGTTCGGAAAGAATGAGAAAACAGTAAACACATACAGTGACAGAGTTCTCCGGTCCATCTAGAGAGCTCCACTTAAAATGTTGGCAGTGACATTTTGGACCAGTCAAAGGTCTGGATGCCTTTTACTGACAGACCCATGCTTGTGAACACTTTTCAAGAGAAAGCCCATGTTTATAGTAGTATTAAAATGGAAGTTATTGAACTGTGTTTATTGTTAGGATCATCTTGAAAAGTATTTCTAGTCACAGTTGTCATCTGAGCATCTCAGTGAATCAAGCTTTTCCTTGGAGTTGATGTCAGTAATGTTTTGAACAGATACATTTGTGTTTGAAGTGCTGTAATTATGATGAAACAACATACTTGTATTGGAGTTGGAAAGATTACTGTTTGTTTTATTGCAGGGTGGCCCATTTGTGGAAATCTTCAGTGCTCAAGGCAAAAATCCAGGAGCAAAGTGGAAAATTTTTGGCAGCCCATCAGTAGTTGAAAAAGTATGTTTCATGGTAGAATGTTAAGACCTTGGAATATCAGCCATGGAAAATATACACGAAGCTTAAAATTAGAAAGTAATAGGGCCTTGACCTCACTGTGGAAAAGTAGCCACTTTCACTTATTTTGTCATGACAGAATGAATGACCACAGGCGTTAGCACTTCTTGCCTACTTACAGCCACAGTTTTATAGCTAAGGAAAAGTATAATATTAGGAAGTTTAGCATAGCTTTGCTTTCTTCATAATCACTGGATGAAGACCTGGGCCACTGGATCCTAAAATCCTTATACTACTTTATGGTACTTTGTTAAATATATTTTTTAGGTAGGGTGGATTTGATTTACATCATACACATTTAAATCTTTCTTTAAATCACTACTCAGAAGTATTTGATTTAACTATGTGTTTCTGCAGCTTTTTCATACAATCTATAAGCTAAACACATGTTTTTCAGAACTCGGAGATCCAGGCTTTATTTTTAGAACGCCCTTGCTATACAGTTTTTTTAACTGATTCAATCTGCAGAACTTCTGTCAGAAAATGAATGAGTATTTAATTATGAAAGCTCATTAAAACGTATTTATAAAGGTACTGGAAGATGAAAAATCTCCAGTTCAGCAAGTTAATTGTGAATATTTGGAGGATTTTCTTATTCACCCCTATTAGGGCAATTACCATCAGCAGACAAGGATCGAAATTATTTTATTTAACTTTTAAAAGCACAAAATCTGTTTGTGAATCCTGCCGCATTCCCTTCAACAACAAACAAATGGCCAGAATCCACCTAAAATTTATACCAGCATTGAGTACATTTGTGCGGGCATAAATATTCAGTTGAATTATGGCCAATATTGAACGAGCATATAGTTTATTGTCTACATCCATTGTCATTGATTTCCACACCTAGAATGTATATTTGTCTGTAAATATAGTTAAATATTGTACTCCAGGTGTCTGTGGAAGTGTACTGTAATTAAAAAAAATCATACTAAGTGCTAAGATTTTTGTTTTGGATTTTTTTACATATGTTCTGTGAAATGTTCACAGGTTTCCCTGCCATGGTGGACACTAACTTGAACATCTACGTGGCAGACTGCTATTTATGATAGATTAACAAGAATATGACAAAGCAGTGAATTTATTTTGGGTGACATGCATGGTGGCACACAGATACAATACTTTGGTGATATTTTGCCAGAAATGATTAGTTTTAGTGCATTTCCTCTGTATGTGAATATGCATTTTTGAAACTGTACAGTGCTCTTCAGTAGAGGGAAGGTATATTATCTTTGAGAAAGAGAAAGCGGAACCAAAGGTTGCATTTATTTTAGTAAACTGTTTTCAGCTTGTATAAGACCAGTAATGTGACTCACAAAAAAAATTATTATTTGGCCATAATCTGAACCCAGCATCAATCTTGAATGAGAGGCAGTATCTTAGTGTTGCTAATCAGCTCTGTTATCTTTTGCATGTGCTGGTCTTATGTTTGCAGTAAATTGGGTTATTTGTTCAGTTGCATTGGATAGCTTGTGGATAAAACATTCTTTGTTGCTTTGCTAGGAATTTGATAAGGAAGTGAAAGGGTTCGTTTTTGTTCTGGAAGGAAGTAGTCAAACCAATAAGATGCAGCTTCCAAAGGAAACAAGACAAACTCGTAAGTATAAATGCCTATCTGTCTATCATAGTTTTTCCCAAGCTTTTTCAAATCATGACCTTCTTTTATAATAGGCGAGAAACCTGTGACCCTCCCCCCATATTTGCACAAGAAGGTATTTTTGATGGGGCAAAGAAAATACACCAAAATATGTTTTTTTCAGACTATAATTCTAATATATTAATATTTATGTAATAATTCATAATTATGGGAAGGATGTACCAGATAAAATATGGAGAAGGAAAAAATGTCAATACACTTTGAATTTAATTTAATTTCCATATTTTTTGGATGTGGAAACTGCACTCCCTTCACATCTCCAAAAAGTCCCTCACCCTCTAGGCCAAATAAACACTTGTGTTTCTTAATAATCCACTATGTTTCTTTTTGCTTCCCTATCTGATGTATACAACTTCATTCTTTATTCTTTGAGTCCATGAAATGCAAAGGATTCTTCTTTATATTCACATTCCAATAGCATTTAGTTTATTTTTTTAGCATCTCCTTAATAGTCCAAATCTCACATCCACTGATTTGCAGTCCCATGTTGTTACTTTCTTCTGTGACCCAATCTAACAATATATGAAGGTTATCTAAGTTACTGGCTCTCAGGTCTGTGTCATCAGCGGATCTTACATTGGCCAAAATCCTGTTGTTTAGAATAATAAATTACATTAGAGTAGGACCGTTGAATTAATGGAGATTTGGTGAAATACCTCTCTTAACTGCAGCCTTCAATCTCTTGAGAGAAAGTATCCTAGTACAAATATTAATATAAATGTGATACTATTTAACATTAGCCGTGGATGGTACTAAAATTTAACATCAGGAATGGGATGTTCATATTTCTTGGACTTCAGCCATCAGAATGCACCAAAAGTTTCCCCTGTCAGACTTCTGGAGGTTTTAACCAAGAAATTGAAGCCCTCACAGGAGTTTTCAGTTGATCACCAATGGAGAATAAAGGCTGTAGCAGCTGTGAGGTGAGTGGGCATAGCTCAGCTACATGGAACCTCAAGGAATTAGGGGACTGATAGCCTTTATGTTTACTAGACTCTATCCATGGTACCTCACAAATGTACCAATCTCCTAATCCTTTGCAATTGCCACAGAGTTTAGCCCTTCCCAACTATTCACAAGCATATAATGACTTCATACTCCATCTGATTTTAATTGAAACCTTCTTTGAGGAGTTTGATTTTTTTGGCAAAAACTCCAGAATCTTTACTGGAAGAATTCCTAACAAATTCGGGGTACTAAAGTCCCTATTTAACATTGATTTCCTCATTCTCATAATCATTGGCCAAAATCCTGTTGCTTGATGCAGTAAATCACACTAGAATAGGCTCATTGAATCAGCGGAGACTTACAATTCCTCTGTAAGTTCTATTGAATCAAATGGCCTGTTATAATTTATCATCATTCTTTATTACAGCTGCAGACCAGCAAAGAGTATAAAATGACAGATCGTACAGAAAACTTCTATATGTAGTGTATGAATCCTTCTTTCAAGGTGATTGCGACATTTTCTCTCTAGTTCTCATAGCAATCAATAAAAATTTAGACACCCTGTCAGTAATATAAGTGGACACACCCTTTGTTACAGGGCAGTAACAAATCTGTAATTGTAAACTGCAGTTTAGTAGGCCCATTTGAATCACTGTAAACTATGGAGGAATTAACTCACTAAATCCCCATTGATTCAGTAGGCCAAACTCTAGTGCAATTTCTATGCAAAGCAACAAGATTTTGTCACTGTTTAAGAGTATGACATTTATGTTAATGTTCTCAGATCTATATGGAAACACATTTTAACATAACCTTTTCTGAATAAATTTTAATCAAATTTGTGTTAATTTGTCCTGAAGGATTCCTCTTCTAGTTTCTACTTTGTTAGCTAATTCTCTATCTGTTTTAATCATAGCTATTTGTTCTTAGTGCATGTTCTTTATAATATTTGTGTCCTTCCCATTGATATGTAGTTGGTGTATTATTTCTATTAATTTATGCTGTTGAATCTATCAAATGCATTGAAACATATAGGTAGCTCTAGTCATATATCCAAACTCCTTTCCACTAGAACTGAATCAAAACTGTGTATTCGCCATATGCCTAGCAGGCTTCTGTGATTTTGCTTGCATTTTACTTTCAGTTTTCATTTGTAATTCAAAGAAAGGTCTTTAAAACTTGTGTCGTTAAACTAATTATCATATATCTCTTGAATTCTTTTGCAGTAGAATTTTCTTTAATTGTCACAAATATTGATAACAGCTATTAAGTAGGAATTTTTCCTTAGCTATATAGTGGTGCCTCGACTTATGAACACCCCTATCTACAAACATTTTGACTCATGAAGAGCTCCGGTTGCAAAATTTTGCTTCAACTTGCGACCGGAGCTTCGACTTTCGAAAAGAAAACGCAGAGAAGCCGGGGAAAGCAGGACATTTGAACTTTCAGTTAACCGTTGGCTAGCGAAGAGGCTGCTTGTTTGCTACCTCACTTGCCCCGGTGGTTAGAGAGTGTGGATACGGAGAAAGACTTCAGACTGCTTGGCACTGTACTGTATGTACTTTTTTTTTGCTTTTTTTTTTTTTAAAGATTTTTGGATTTGTACTAGGTCAGGGGGTATGTTTCTGTGCTCTGATGGGTCTTGCAGACCCTTTCTGCGAGGGTCTGTGCTGGCTGGTGTGCTCTAAAATGTATTTTAGTCTTTTGGTTTTAAAATCAGAAAATAATTCTTGGTTTGGTTTAAAATGTGTTTTGTTTAAAAGTTGCTAGGTTTGGTTTAAAATGTGTTGGTGTAAAATGTTTGGGTTTAGCATGTGTGGGTTTAAAATGTGTTTTAGACTCCAAACTCTCCCCCCCCCAATTGTGTTCTGTCTCTCTGCCTTCTTTCTTCTTGTGCTTAAAAGCACAAACCTTTGTCTGAGCGGTCTGTGTGCCCCAGTGATGACCTTCATTCTTTCTTTCCTCTTTTCCCCATTGTTCCCTCCTTCCCTCCTTCCCTGCCCTTTTTAAATCTAAGTCATTTTAGGTTTTTAAAAAATCTCCCCTTAGTGTGGTAGAGGACGGATTAACTGGTTTTGCATTAGTTCCTTTGGGAACTAATGCTTCGACTTACAACTGGAGCCTCTACATACAAACAAAAAAGAACCGAGACGGATTAATTGGGTTTCAGTGCATTTCAATGGGCAATGCTGATTCAACTTAAGAACATTTCAACTTGCGAAAATCTTCTGGGACGGATTAAGTTCGTAAGTTGAGGCACCACTGTATATCATATTAACCAACTTTATCTTTCCTGCTGAGTACAACATATGCATTGGTTTCCCACATATTCTTAGTATTCACACTTCTCTTTTTCTCAAAATATTCTAATTATGTAGTTCTTTGACTTTCTCAGGCTTCTTCAGCTCCCATACTTCTCATACTTCTAATTTCCTCTTTAGCCATGGTGTTCGTGTTCTTAATTTTACTTTTCGTGTAGTTTTATAACAACTGGCATGTGGTCTGAATTCATGTACGCCCAAGATATGTTTTTGTATTTATTGTGCTATTTTGGAATATGTGATTTATAAGTATGTACAATGCATGTGTTCATCAGTATGCTGCAAGTATGTCCATGTATGTAGTCACAATGGTGGAAAAAGTAAATCATGTATTTTATATGATGATACGACAGTGGTGGGGCTCATAAATAAGAACAATGAGTCTGCTTATAGAAAGGAAATACAAAGGTTGATACTTTGGTGTAAAGAAAATCGTCTCACACTTAACATCAAAAAAACTAAAGAACTCATAATTGATTTACCACTGTACATAAATGGTGAGGAAGTGGAGAGAATTGGTAGTTTTAAATTTCTGGGTACTTACATCTCAGAGGACCTCTCATGGACTATAAATGCCAACATGCTAATGAAGAAGGCACAGAAGAGGCTGTATTTCCTGAGAATGCTCGGCAAGTTAAATTTATCTCAGCAGTTACTTCTGTCATACTATCGTAGCACCATTGAGAGTGTCCTAACCTATGGCATTCTGGCATGGTTTGGGAGTTGCTCTGTAGCGGACAAAAAAGCTCTACAGAGAACCATTAAAATTGCCCAGAATATCATCGGGCTCAGCTACCAACCCTGGATGACATCTTCACATCCCGCTGTCTAAGGAAATCACATAGCATCCCGAGAGACTCTTCCCATCCTGCTTATAACTTTTTTGAACTGTTACCATCTGGCAGAAGATATAGAACAATTAAGACTCGGACCACACATTTTCTCAATAGTTTTTATCCCAGAGCTATAATTGCAATTAATAATGAGCTTAAAGACCACCAGTAGTGAATAATTAGTTGGACTGTGTTACTTGGCCTGCGGTGTAGATGTTTGTATTTTTAGTGGGGGACTTTTAGTGGGTGGGGAGTGTTTGGGAATTTTATGTGTGTGCATGTGTCTGGTCTCTGG